CTTGGTAGCCTGAGCTACAAAGAACCACTGAGGCGTTGCAGCAACATAAATCTAAAAATCTGCAGTGTGACTCACTCTGTTTTATTATAACTCCACTGAGTGTATGTGTGTGTGTGTGTATGTGTGTGTGTGTGTTGTAAGAAAGAATTTATAAATCTTAGCTGGTCCCCGCTCAAACCTAGTAAGCTTGTGAAATCATAAAACATGGGGGCAATCAAATCATCATCTAGGAGATCAATAGAAGAGGAGAGGAGCCCTTTGATCTGTTTAGTAATCATTCCTTTAAGGGATGCAGCTGGGCATGGTAATGTAATAAAAACAGTTCTTTGTTCAGCTGGATTCAGAAGCATATACGAGTCTCCATTTGCAAATGGCATATCCATGTGAGAGATTTGTAAGTTGCAAAATGCACGATGATATCAATCTAATCTGTGCATTAAATTGGGAAATGTTGCAAAGCCAGTATTGTATATTCTGTAAAGAAAAACCATTTACATGTGAACTCCTTACAAAGGTCTCCTCTCTCAGTTATTTCCATTTTACCTTACTGTGCATTTTTGGGTGCACCAATTTATTTGATTTTAAGGGAAAAATGTATTCTTGCAATTTAGATGTTTTTCAAGACCTTGGAGATGTCTGCTAACATAATAATAAAAATAACAGCTGAGAGTAGTGATAAGTGCTCCTAAGTTAGCAACATTTCTAGCTGTTTTGTTTCTTCTTTTATATCCAGGGCGATTTCTGATGTTTTTCTGCAGGATCTGTTTTGAAATCAATACTCTGATTAGATCTGGCTTATGTTTCCAAATGGGACTCCTCCTTATTAGGATGGACGCAGGTGGCTGTAAACAATGGCCTCAGCTGGAGAAGGAGCTGTAGACTTCTAAGACATTTTTCTTATTCCATAAATTCCCTACCAGTGGATTTTTCAAATTGAGGTAAGGTTTACATCACATAAAAATCAATCATTTTAAAGTAAATCATTCTATGTCAGTTACATGTCCTCTAATTTAAAAAGATTTTCCTCATTCCAAAGTAAAACCCAAACTCATGGACTACTCACTCCCCATTGTTCTCTCTTCATTCCTGGGAATCACCAATCTGCTTTTTTTGTTCCAGTGTATTTTTATGGTATTTATTCATTTATTTATTTGGTACCAGGTATTGAATCCAGGGGTCCTTTACTCTGATCCACATTCCCAGCCCTTTTGTATTTATTTATTTATTTAAAAACAATTCTTTTTAGTTGCAGATGGACCCAATGCCTTTATTTTATTTTTACGTGGTGCTGAGGATCAAACCCAGTGCCTTCCACATACTAGGCGAGCGCTCTACCTCTGAGCCCAGCCCCAGCCCCACCTTTTTATTTTTTTATTTTATTTTTTTAATATTTATTTTCTAGTTGTAGTTGGACACAATACCTTTATTTTGTTTACTTATTTTTATGTGGTGCTGAGAATCAAACCCAGGCCCTTACATGAGCTAGGCGAGTGCACTACCGCTGAGCCACAACCCCAGCCCCAGTCCTTTTTATTTTGAAACAGGGTATTGTTATGTTGTTAAGCCTGGCCTCAAACTTGCAATCCTCCTGCCTCACCCTCCCAAGTCGCTTGGATTACAGGCATGTGCCACCGTGCCCAGCTCTAGCGGATTTATCCCCTTTGGTACCAGTGATGGAACCCAAGGGCTTTTAACCACTGAGCCATATCTCCTTTCCCTTTCCCTTTCCTTCCTTCCTTCCTTTCTTTCTTTTTTATTGGTTGTTCAAAACATTACAAAGCTCTTGACATATCATATTTCATACATTTGATTCAAGTGGGTTATGAACTCCCATTTTTACCCCGTATACAGATTGCAGAATCACATCGGTTACACATCCACGTTTACATATTGCCATACTAGTGACTATTATATTCTGCTATCTTTCCTATCTTCTACTGTCCCCCCTCCCTTCCCCTCCCATCTTCTCTCTCTACCCCATCTACTGTAATTCATTTCTCTCCTTGATTTTTTTTCCCTTTCCCCTCACATCCTCTTATATGTAATTTTGTATAACAATGAGGGTCTCCTTCCATTTCCATGCAATTTCCCTTCTCTCTCCCTTTCCCTCCCACCTCTCGTCTCTGTTTAATGTTAATCTTTTTCTCATGCTCTTCCTCCCTGCTCTGTTTTTAGTTGCTCTCCTTATATCAAAGAAGACATTTGGCATTTGTTTTTTTAGGGATTGGCTAGCTTCACTTAGCATAATCTGCTCTAATGTCATCCATTTCCCTGCAAATTCCATGATTTTGTCATTTTTTAGTGCTGAGTAATACTCCATTGTGTATAAATGCCACATTTTTTAAAATCCATTCATCTATTGAAGGGCATCTTTCTTTTTCTTTTCTTTCTTTTTCTTTCTTTCTTGGTCTCACTGAGTTGCTTAGAAACTCACTAAATTGCTGAGGGTGGCTTTGAACTTTCAATCCTTCTGTCTTAAGCCTCCCAAGTTGCTAGATTGCAGGCATATACTCCAGTGGATTTTAAAATACATTTTTAGATGGTTTCATGTTTGCCTTTAGAGCCATGAATGGTGGTACTGGGCCTTCCTGTTTGAGTTCACAGGCAAGTTCTAGAAGTTCATTTTCATGACTATTTGTAACTTGGGAGCTAAATTTGGACTCTACCTTCCAGATAATTGCTCAAATCTTGTCCCTGCTCCTCCCTTTAACCAGTATAGTAAAATAAATTCTAAATAAAGGACTTACTTTCCTTTGAAATGTCCTTTCTGTAATACTTCATTTCCAGACTTTTGGGTTGGAACCTATAGAATACTTTTGCAAAATTGTAAGAAGTCCCCTTCCCTATTTTTTTTTTTTTAATAGGGAAATAACTACCAACTCTAATAGGTAACAGGAACTGAGGTGACTCATGGTTGGATGGGCCCAGAGCCTAATTTTGAGCATCTCCTACCTCATTGCTATGCAGAAGGGCAGTAGCTGAGGAAGTTTGCACTGTAGCAGATTGCCTATGGAACTTTGTATTGCCAAGCATTTTCTGGGCAGCATAAGCTTAAATGAGATAAAGATGAAAAGAAAGGTCTTCTGGTAATAAAGATAAAAAGAAAAATTTCTACTCCCTTATGTGGGCACTTTGTTTTATGTAGAGGAAAAACATCAGAAAGAAAAGCAAGCACTATAATCAGATGACCAAGGTCCAAATCCCAGCTCTGCTTACTGTGTGACATCAAACAGGGGCCTTAACCTCGGCATTCTGATGTTCATTTGTAAAATAAACATACACTAAAAAGTAGGTATGTAGTTTAGATAATTATGTTTACTGCCTAGGACTATGTCTGAATAAGAAAATGCTGAATAAATTTTAGCTATTTCTAACACATCTAAGTCTCAGGATACAGAGGATCTCATCTAATGAATCTGAATCATCTTGAGGATCATTAATTTACAAGTAGGCTTCCCACTCACTCTTGGACCCACTTTGTTCTGTTGTCAATAACAGTTGATATCTTCCCTTCCCCTCCCCTCTCTGCCTTATGATTTTAAACATTTTTCACGTTACCTATAGTTCTCCTTAATAATTTATCAAATCTGTAAAACACTCATTATTATTAAGGTCTTTCATAAATGAGTTCATGGCAATCAGAGACTCACTGAATGACGCAAATTAGGGCCAGCCTCCCTCTGAACCAAAACAGTGCTTCTCTCTGTGCAATAGAAACCACAGAACACAAATTGTGTTGGTGGGATTCATGTGACTTTTAATTTATTATTTTACTAATGTCTTACAGCAAATGTGAGGAATAAAGATAGGGATAGGAAGAAAAGTGTCTTTTGAGTTCCTTGAGCTATTGAAGCATGTGCTAGAATAAGGAAGTTCAGTAAACGCATCATGTCCTTGTCACCACAGAGCTCATAATGGAGCTGTGGAACAGGGACAGGGGCAGCTGTAGCTTTGTTGGAAGTAAGCGCTGAGAGTCCTGCATCAAACTTGGCACATGTGGCAGACAGGGCAATGCAGATGCTACATAGTCAGGAGGATGAAAAACTGACCCTCCAGACTACAGTCCAGGAAGTGAGAAGCGATGTGCACACCACTCTGGGGTCTGAGTGTCTCTGCCTTTCCAGCAGGGAAGGGACACCTGCCAACCATGCAGCAGTGAGGCAACTGTGGGGGAAGACTCTTAGAAAAAAAGAGAATGATTTCTTTTTTATGTTTGCTGGTGATGCTGATTGACCAGAAGTGAGATTGTTATTGTTTTTTAACTTTTGGGCAATAGCATTGTGTCCTGGTGATAAAATATCCTCTACTTAGCATTCTTAAAAGGCATAGGAGAGTGAAAGCAAGGCCTCTTTAGGACCTAGACTAGTGAGAAGGGGAACACATGGATTCTAAGGATAAGGGCACAAAAAAGCTAGTTCTATACCACACAGTCTGACACAGATGAGACCTTGGCTTTTTCCATTCTTAGAATACCCACCTCTTTTAACATCCTACTACATCTAAGGTCAGCTTAATCACAGCTTGGGAAAACTATTACTGTATTTCTAAAGTTAAGGTGAAAGCTACATTCTTAATAAAGTGGTTTTTTTTTTTCCCCTAATTAAATGGATTTGAATAAGTTCAAAGTCTAACATCTAGAGATTATTTCCATTATTTTGCTTGTTGGGGGGAACCATTAAAATTCATCACTGCCATTTTTTTTTAACCTACAGAAAGTACATGAAATGGACAAGGTAAGTTATTACACAAATCACAGAAATGGTCGACATGCATCTAATTTTATCCATTGAGCAAGAGACCTAAAAGGGGGTAAGTTCTTTTGAGAAAAACCTAAATGTATTCAAAAGGGAAACATACTACACTAGACCTATTTTTTTTCTTTTCTTTTTTTTCCTGGATGGAGGAAAAGGATATGTGGATTTGAAGGGAGTAGGGAAGAAAGTGTCCATTAAATACCTATCATTTGTGACTTAGTTCTGTCAGAGTGGAATTGGGTGTGGACCATTGGTTTATGCAGTGATGTGCACCACCATTTGGCAGTGATCTTATGTTTTAGGAACCTAGAGTAAGATAATATAGCTGGGTACTGGCTTACTGGCTGGGTATAGTAAATATATATGGGGTTTGCTTTTAGCTCACAGCAAATGATGATGATCACAGATTTAGCACCTTAGTTTGTACTTCCTCTGCACCTGAATCATCTATCACTGTGAAGCCTGAGCTTTAGGTGAGAAAGCTGTATTCTTAGATAATTCCTTGTGATTGCTCCAGGACTGCAGTTTACTCCAATCTAAGGGCTAGTTTTCCTATTAGAGAAAGTATTCAACACTAAATAGGATTGAAGCCTTGAAGACATTATGTAGTGGTGACAGGTGTTACGGTTCAGGTATAAGCTGTTTAACAAGTCAAATAGATATTATTCCCTCTTAAGCATTAACTTTTTTTAAGCAACATAATTATATGTTTTGGCTTGAAATGGTGCTTTCTTCTATATTTGACTTCTCCATTTTCTTAGTAGATATTACTGTTTCCTCCAATATTTCTTCAAAACTTTCTCCTATCTGGGAGGTTTTCTTAGAGGCAACCTTAGAAGCCTCCTCCTCCTCTTCCTCTTTCTTAAGTGACAGCCCAGTGGATGAGACTTTGGAGGTTGTAGAACTGAGAATTCTAGGAGGAAGCAGATAACTTGGATTGGGAGGTGGATTCAGCCCTGAAACACTTAATCCACTGGAGCTAAATCTTGTCTCTTCACCTTCCAGCAGTTTCCTGTAAATCCAAGAGAAAAACTCTCAGAAATCAACTTGCATTTTTTTTTTTTTTTTTTATGAAATCAAATTTCCAGTCCTATTTACTTTGGAGAGACTTTAAAGGACATTGCAATTTTGCAATTTCTTCATGGGATTGAGACCAATAATATTGTATTTCAAGGCTCAAAGAGTTGGAGATTTGTACATAGCATTTGTACATACACATACACATATACATGAACATCTTAGCATTAGCTGTCTTTAAAACATCATCAAGGGGTTGAGGTTGTGGCTCAGCGGTACAGCGCTCCCCTAGCACGGGCGAGGCCCTGGGTTCGATCCTCAGCACCACATAAAAATAAATAAATTAGGGGCTGGGATTGTGGCTCAGCGGTAGAGCGCTCGCCTAGCACCTAAGCACCACACAAAAATAAAGGCATTGTGTTGTGTCCATCTACACCTAAAAAAATATATATATATATATATATATATATATTTAAAATTAATTAATTAATTAAAGATTGTGTCCAACTACAATTAGAAAATAAATATTAAAAAAATAAATAACAAAATAAAACTTTGTCAAAAGGAAACCTATCAGCTAGGCATGGTGGTGCATGCCTATAATCTCAGTGGTTCAGGAGGCTGAGGCAGGAGGATCAAGAGTTCAAAGCCAGCCTCAGCAACTTACTGAGGCCCTAGGCAACTCAGAGAGACCCTTTCTCTAAATAAAATACAAAATAGGGCTGGGGATATGGCTCAGTGGTTAAGCACCCGTGGGTTCAATTCAATCCTCAGTACTAAGAAAAAAAAGGGAACCTATCCTATTTGTAAATATGTTCCTGAAGGAGAACTTACAACCCACCTTGGCCACCTCACACCCATTTTTTTTTTTAAGCAATTAGAGTCTTCAAAGCTTTAGAGAGAAGTAATTTTCCTAGTTTAACACTTTTACTGCAACAGATAAGGAGGTGAGAAGTCCACAAAGGAAGGAGGAGAACTGCCTAATTCAGCCTGAACTTGACATCTGTACTTTCTTAATTCATAAAGGTACAAAGTGATAGTCCCAGGTATGCAGAAAGAATTGCTTTAGCCCAGGAACTCTAGGCCAGCCTCAGAAACATAGTGAGACCCCCATCTCAAAACCAAAAATACCAAAAAAAAAAAAAAAAAAAACAAAGGGAATGGGACCAGCAATAATAACAGAATAAATGACATTATTCGGACACCAAATTTTTTTTCAGCGTGGCATGAACAGCACCATTAAAGAGAGGCCCTGCTGGGTGCAGCTGTGTAGCTCAGGAGGCTGAGGCAGGAGGATCACAAGTTCAAAGCCAGCTTCAGTAACTTAGTGAGGCCCTAAACAACAGCAAGACCCCATCTCAAAATAAAAAGATTGGGGAATGGGGCTCAGTGGTAAAGTGCCTTTGGGTTCAATCCCCAGTACTGGAAAAAAAAAAAAAACGGGGAGAGATCCCAATCACCTTGCTTCCCTGAAAACCAGAAACACAAGCTGCTATCCAATACTCTTGGAGCTTTATTTTGAAGTAGAATACAGAGTAAGAAAAAGAGAAAAATGTCCAGACAGATCTGAGGTCAGCTGTGCCATTTACCAAAGCCATGGCTTTGAGCAAGTCACACAGTATGTGGTTGCCTTGATACCTAGGAAAATTTTACGAAGTATCAATATAGTGCCAGGCACATGGTAGTCATTCTGAAAATGGTACTTGCAATTACTTTTTTTTTTTGGCTGTATTAAGGATTAACTTACCGCCTTCTACATATTAGACAAATCCTCTACTACTGAGCATATCCCCAGCATACCTCAAACTTGTGATCCTCCTGCCTCAGCCTCCCAGGCAACCTGGATTACATGTATAATCCCACCATGCCTATCACCATGCTTGGCTTATAATTACCTTTTTTTTTTTTAAAGGTAATGTTCACTTGAATAGGAATACAGGGAGAAACGTTGCCTTTTAGGGCTTTCTGTGTATATAAATTCTATTTTTAAATTTAGAATCTGATGGATTTTTATTTCTGTATACCTCCATTATCCCCTTAAACCCTTGGCAGAGGTATGAAGAATATTCTAAGACTAGTAAGGTAAAGCTGGGATGTACATCCAGGTAGAGGGACAAGGAGCTTAGTTTGCCTGGAAGAAGCCAGTGATGTCCCTTTTCATCCTCCTCCGCTGATCAGAAACCACAGAGACTAGAACCACTTATTTGTGTAGCATTGCCCCTAGGTAAGTATGAGCTTTGCTTGGGTGAGCATGCCCTCTGAAGTACCTGTAAGCTGCTATCTCAATGTCAAGGGCCATTTTGACATTGAGCAAGTCCTGGTATTCCCGAAGGTGGCGTGCCATCTCACTCTTGGTATTCCTCAGATCATTCTCCAGCTGTCCAATGCTATCCTGAAAAGTAACATATCCAAAATATTTAGGGCACAGTTGCTGAAATTCATTGAAATTTCCTGAAGGCAAAGGATTCTCCACCCCCACTACACATTAAAGCCATCTAAGCAACGTATAAAATACTCACATACAGATGTATCTCTCAGCCCAGATTCTGACTCATTTATTCTGGGGTGGGACTCAAGCATTTGCATTTTTTCATAGAGGCTTTCAAGAGATTCAGATGCATGGTGAGGTTTAGGAACTTCTACCCTGAGGCACATGGTACTGAAATAATTTAAAAAAAAAAAAATATTTATCATCCCTCCATTGCTTGTTGTACTGGTGCTGAGTAACTCCACTATTCATTTCCTTTTCAAAACATGAAGCATCAGGGTAGGAGCTTAGATTCAGGACATTCCAACTGTGTAAAGCACAGAAAGAACAGCCCTCCTTCTCTGCTACCACTCCATGCCTTTGCTTGTCTTGATGGTTTCCTGGAAGTCTGCTACTCAATGACTACTGAAAACTCCTCAGCATGACCTACGTTCTTCCTTTTGCTCCCTGGCTTTTCTTTTGTTCATTGAACATACCAAGTTCATTGCTGTTTCAGGCCCTTTAGGCCTGCAATTTCTTCTGCCTAGAGAGCCATATGTTGGATCTTTACCAATATCTTATGTAAGATTCAGCTCAAAGTTTATCTCCTTAGATAGTTCTTCCTTTGCATTCAATTTAAGTACCCTCCCTTTACCAATCCAGCACATTATCTGACCTCCAGCCAGGGTAGCTCCTAGGCCATGCAGAAACTATGGGCAAATTACAAATATGTACCTTAAAAAGGAGGACAAATTAGAAAAAACTTGAAAGTGGCATCCTGCTTTTCACTCTTCTTATAGGAAATTATCTTGTTTACCAACATCAGTGGTTCTACCTATTAGATGTCAGAGGCACACACCCTCCATCCCAGTTGTGACAACCAAAAATGTAATTAACATGGTGACTGGGATCTTTTCTGTCTAGTTCACCCCTAGAAACTCAGATCCTAGCATAAATACAATGTAAATGCTCAATGAGTGATAGATGAATGAATGAATGATGCTATGTAAGTACTTTTAAAAAAATTTCTGTAGTTGTAGATGAACAGAATGCCTTTATTTTATTTGTTTATTTTTATGCGGTACTGAGGATCGAACCCAGTTCCTCACGCATGCTAGGCAAGTGCTCTGCACTGAGCTACAGTCCCAACCCCATTACTTCTTAAGACCTGAAAAGATGTGATCAAATAGGCCATTAATTCAGCTCCAACTCTGTTGACAGGAAAAACACAGTGATTTTATTTCATAAAAATAATAGAGTTATTTTTATGAAATAGGGATGCAGATGAACAAGTCAGAAACTTCAAGAAAGCCAGTATTGAAGTGGATGATGAAGCAATGATGAAGGGCAGGACTGATCCGTCAGGGGGGTACAAACTTCCAAACCAAGAGAATTTGTAAAAAGAGTTAAAAATCCATGCTACCCACATGTTATATAACTATTAACAGGTATACTGCAAAAGAGAATCTCAACTGACTGATGGGTATAGAACAAAGAATGTTAGATAAGCAGTGGGGGAAATTCAGATAACACTGGACAACGATGCAAGCAAGTCTGCTAGTGATGCATTAGGAGTAAGAATCGCTATTACTATAACAATGGAGAAAGAAGTCTAGGGTGAGGAAAAAAGGAGAAGGGGGGACCGAGGACATTATTATTATGCAAAAGAGCAAGAGAAATGCATTATGAGGAAGAGACGAAGATTTCAGTGGGATCTTTGGCCTACATGTTTGCCCTGGCACTAACATTCAGTGTTAGTTTTCTACATTTTAGTTTCTTCTAACCTTCCATTTCTGCACTTGGCAAATTGTGAATTTTTTTTTTAAACAGGGAAAATTACAGTGTTTACTCTTTTCCAAGTTGTTCCAAGAGTCAAGATTCTAGTTTAATCCATCTTACATTAACACATGAGGAGTCTATTACCTGTTAAGTTAGATAATACTCATTAGAATAGCATAGCACATAATAGTCAATGCTAGTGATTTTTGTTATTGTTAATAACACATCATGTGACTTTACTATTTTTTTTTTTTAATATTTATTTATTTATTTTAGTTCTCGGCGGACACAACATCTTTGTTTGTATGTGGTGCTGAGGATCGAACCCGGGCCGCACGCATGCCAGGCGAGCATGCTACAGCTTAGCCACATCCCCAGCCCCATGACTTTACTATTTTGATGATATGGACAAATTATCATGATTTGTCCCTACAATCTCTTGGGTAATGAAGAAATGAATATAATAGTATACAATATTAATGTATAACAAACTGTACTTTTGGAGAGTGGTTGCATATCTCTTAAAGCATCAAGTTTTTTTTAAAAAATAACAATTTTCAATAGAAACCTTTCTAAAGTGGCTTATACCACTCACAAATAAGATAGTAAACATAATGCAACCTTCTTGGCAATTAAGCATCATGAAAACAATCATTTTTCTATAATTCTGTAATGTCTTTTAGGTATCTCAAGCTATTTCTACCCTAAACAACCCCAAAGATCAGTATCTGAACTCAAATTGCTGCTTATTGGTTTTCTTTGTCCTCAAAGACACCCTGATCTGCTAGCTACTCATTTTTGACAATGCCTGACAACAGTGGTCACCCTTCTCTATCCTGCTGCAGGTTTGAAACCCAAATACAGAAGCATTTTAGAATCACATAAAGAATGATTAGGCTGAGGGTATCAAAGAAGTCAGTTTCATAAAATGTGATGTGGAGATGCTATTTTGTCTTATCAGGTTAATGAGGTCTTTTTTTTAAAAAAAATTGTTAAATAGTTGTGTTTTCTAAATGAAAGATTGCTGGGGAGCTAAGTTGTAGATGGATGAGATTTCTGGAATTTTTTAAAAAATATTTATTTATTAGTTTTAGGTGGATACAATATCTTTATTTTATATTTATATGGTGCTAAGGAACCCTGTGCCTCACGCATGCTAGGTGAGCACTCTACCACTGAGCCACAACCCCAGCCCAGAGATTTCAGGAAGTTTTATGTTATACATTTCACACATCTATTTTGTGGATCAGAATGGACAAAAAGCACAAGTTGGCTTCTTCATGAAGAGGCTAACTGCTGACCATTAATGGCTCATGAACGTGTAGCCCCCTTTGTTTGCACTCTCCTCCCCACACCAGTCTGTGTCTTGCATTGCCCTTCAAAAGCCCTGCCAAGATGGCCTCCAGCTCGAAATCTGAGCAGAGTGCTGCAGTCTGCCCCCTCCCCCAACCACGCAGCTGCTGCTGGCTTAGCCCAAGGGACCCAGAGGCACACCCTATTCCAGCTGAGGTCTCTTTCCACAGTAGCTTAGACAACTGAAGAGCGTCTGGCCCAAGGCTGGAAGGATGCAGGTTGGAGGAGGAAAAAGAATGAGCCACACTAGCATCTGCAGTGAAGAGAGACAGTGCAGTGGATTTCATCACTTTTGGGGGCCCCTCAGCCAGATGATTAGCAGTGAATGCAGCACAGTCTGATTGAAAGGGATCATCCAGTTATTGTTCTGCATAATCAATTTAGGTGGTAAGAGAGGAATTTTAAATGTGGTCCACCCATGATGTACTGTCATTCCTTATTCTCACTCTTTGCTTCAGCTACGTCTTTCTCTTTTTCTTTCTTCTACCACATTTTAAAATCCTGTATTATAAGTAATCTCTTTAAGTTAGTTTACTGGAATATGCGGTTTTGGTGAGTGCACTCCAAAATTAGTTTGAGGACCAATCCTTTCAGTAAAAGGATGCAGCCCTTTTAGTGAAAATGTTTATTTCTTGGCCCGCTGGGAACCACTGACTCCATATGTTTGGGAGTGGGCCCAAGGATCTTTCTAAAAGGCTTTCTGTGTTAGACAATAGTAGGGTCATCTAGATATCCTGTGCAAAAAGCAACAGAAATTACAGCTTTTTTTAAAGCTCCTACTTGACCTTGGTGAGTCACTAGATTTAGGAACTACTGGTTTAAATATTTTTGTAAAGGAGATATCATGGTGGTCCAGATGACAGTAACAGTGAAACAGCTTTTTAAAAAAGACCAAATATACCTTTCTTTTCCCTTGAATTCCAATTTAAGAAATAGATCTATCAAACTATAGATTTATATGCAGCCACTGTCACCTCCATCTCCCTGGGGCCAGACCCTTCCTGCTATTTAATTAGGCTATACTCCAATCTCATATTGGAGAGAAGAAAGCAGACTTGGCTGTTCTCCCTGGAGAGCATTAACCAGCAGTGATCCTGATTGTTCAGCAAGGTCTTTCAAGGAAAGCTTTGGCTTTCTAAGACTGGCCATAGTTCAGGTCTGGGACCCCGAGTACCCTCTAGGAGTGTTTTTATACACAACTGGGACTTTAATGGTAGTGAAGCACAACTGGGACTTTAATGGTAGTGAAGCAACCATGCAGGGATCAAAATTACCCTGTCAAAAATGAACAGGCCTTACACTTTCCATGCAAAGGGTGGCTGCATTTGGCTTTTGAAGACAATGGCCCTAGCTTTTTCTAATCTCTTCTGCCTGGTTCAGACTCTCATCCACTATTGAGTACTTATTTTGTCACCTTGAATCATTTTTTACCCTTTCAAAAGTGTAATAAGTTTTCTCTCCTCAAATAGGCTATCAGCTCTTTGGGGCAAAGAAAACTTGACTTTAATGGGGCCTTCCTGTGTCCCTGAGAGGGTTACCAAGCTTGCAAAGGAAAGTGGGTCTACTACCAATATCTGTAGCAGAAGAGAACAGCTTCTCATTACTGCAGTGAAAGGGGGTGGGGTGGGGTGGGGTGAGAGGGCAGGAAAACAATGGCTGGATCTTACTATGGAAGAGGGAGGCTTTTCACCTTGGTCAGTACTAAGACTGACAGAGAGAACAGTCAGAAGCTTTAGGACTTCTGGATATGTAGGTTAAACTGTGAGCCCCACCCCAACCTTAAATCTCAAAGGGTAGGAAATAGCTCTGTTATCTGAACTCCTCTTCCACACCTATGGGTGGGTCCACTGAGTCTCTGAAGACTACAGCTGTCAGGAACAGCACTGCAGAGCTGCAGATGCTGCAATTTCTGTTGTTTTTTGTTTCTTGCACACCAGGTCGGATGATTCTACTATTGTCTAACATAGAAAGCCTTTTAGAGCAATTAAGCCAGAAAACACTAGCACTGCCTCCTGAATGTAGGGGCTAAAGCAAGCAAACAGAGTACCTGGCAAAGCCTAAGTCAGCTGACAGTTTGGGCTGTTAGCCTTTTTGTACAAATACTTCTTTCCAGAAGACCACCTAGTTTAACCTTTGAGGCTTCTGGAAGAAAACATGAAGTCTCACGAGTCTGATTAATTCACATCATGGCGGGGGGTGGGTTGGGGGGCACATAGTGAAAAGTTCCTGTTACACATTTGAAACAGAATTGAAGTATTTGAGTAATACTATAATACGAAGCTAACCAAACAGTCCAGGCTGGCTTTCTTCTTTTATCAAAAGGAGTTCTTTGTAATGAATAGCAACTACCTGTACATCAATAATTCTTTAACTTCTTACTAAAAATAGTACTTTTAGGATATCATGCTTTTTCTCAGTTCTACTTTATTAATGTTCCCAGACCCTATTAATCTTATCAAATGTAATGTATTCTAACTAGATTATTTCAAGTTTCCAAATTGTGGACATTCTATTCCAAGAACTCTTCATTGTACCTTGAGAATGAACCACATTATTTTGTTCTTTTCTATATTTTTCATTTGCCCTGCATCCTGCCTATGCCCTTTGTAGCCATAAACCTAGAATGTCCTGTGTAGTAAAACTGAAGATGCAGTGGTCTTTGTTGGAAGGAAAGGGCCAATCAATACCTTCACAAGCGCTTATAGGGCAGGAGATGGAAAAAAAAAATGTCGCCTATAACAAAGAAACCATCTCTGTGGTTTAGACGCAAAATTGTTAAGGTAATGATAATTTTCAAGTGGGACCTCACAGCTACTGAGGAGATTTTTTTTAAGTGCCTAGCCATCCATGAAAGTAAAATTTGATGTTGTCCACGAGGTGACCTTTGATTGCAGATAACCAAGACTGGTTTGTTGGTATTGAAAAAAAAAAAAAAAAAGAAAGAAATCAAAGCAGTTAATTGCCTAGAGATTCATAACTGGGACACGGGATAGGAGAGACATTGTTTCTAAGATGGGAGGAACACGAGATCAGCACCATGGACAGCGCCCTAGCCTTTTTTTTTTTTTCTTTCCGTCTGTTAAGTGGTGTAAAGCTTTCTTTAGTAGCGAATGTCATCAATAGGTCGACTCAAAACAGTGGGGCGGGGGTGTGGGGGAAGGGTAGAGCGGGGTTACTAGCTCAATCACAATCCAGTTCCTCCGTCTCCAATCCGTACTCCTTTGAGGGCAAGAGTCATGAAAATGGGATGGGTCCCTTCCCAGTTGCCAACACTAACTGAAGCACACAAAAAGAATAAAAGAATTAAACAAACAATAAAAGAAGCTGAGGCACAGTCGGGCCCATGGAGAATCTGTTACCTGCCTCTCTTCTACTCTGGAAAGGAGACTGTCCTCCAAGTCGCCAGTATGTATGTGTCCACTTGCTGACGGAAAGGCATGGTTGGATTTTTCGAACTCCAAAGAAGTTTAAGGGCTTCTTTGTTAGAAGGGCCGGGACAGGAACATAATTGAGGGGCTGGGAAGAGAGCTACCTAACAGTTCACAGTGGAGCTTTTTGTTTGCCAGTGCCTCCAGTAGAGGCTCTTCTCTCCACTCCCTTACACTCCCTTGTTTACTATGGCCCCCATTTTACGGGAAGTGCAGGTATGCACGGGAGAGGACAGGTTTTCTCTCCCTCTGCAGCGCTCCGGCCCTTACCTGGTAGCCGGCCACCTCCGCACTGTGCCGCTCCTCCAACTCCAGGATCTGCCTCTCCAAGGATTCATTGGCCCCGCGCAGGCCCTCGATCTCAATGGTGCGTGCCTGTAGCTGGCGCCGATACTCGTGGATCTCCTCGCGACTGGCTCGAATGGCTTCGGTGCTGCGCGCCGCCTGCTCGTTCAGGTTGGCGAACTTGGACTTGTACCACTCCTCGGCTGACTGCAGGTTCTTAGCGGCCAGGGACTCATATTGGGCGCGGATCTCCCTCAGCGCTGAACTCAGGTCTGGTTTGGCCACAGCCACGTCCACCTCAGCCGCGGCCTGCGACGATGCCTGCAGCGTGGCTAGCAGTTCAGCTACCTCTTCATCGTGCACCTGGCGCACGAAGGCCAGCTCGTCCAGCAGCGACTCCACCTTCTTTTCCAAGTCCAGGCGGGCCAGAGTGGCGCCGTCCACGTCGCGCTGCTGTGCCTTCAGGGCGCGTTCGGCGCCTTCGCGCCCGCGGCTCTCTTCTTCGCAGCGCGCCCGCAATCGCTGCACCTCTTCGGCCAGGCCGTCGCGCTCCAGCAGGGCCTGCGCGCGCGCCGAGCTTGCCTCCTCCAGCTGCGCGCGCAGGTCGCGCAGCTCGCGCTGGAAGAGCTCTCCCACGCGCGACGGCTCGGCGTGGCGTTGCCGCAGCGCAGCCAACTCGGCCTCCAGCGCGCGGTTCTGTGTCTCCAGCTGGTGCACCTTCTCGATGAACACCGCGAATCGGTCGTTGAGGCCCTGCAGCTGCTCCTTCTCGTTGGTGCGGATGATCTTGTACTCGTTGGTGCGCGCTGCCGCCTGGCTTAAGTCCAGCCCGTCGGACGCCGGCAGCCGGCGGTAGGCCAGGCCCAAGCCAAGCGACGAGGCCGAGGAGCAGGCGGCCGAGGAGGCCACATTGCAGCGGGACAGTGATTGCGAGCGGAAGCTGCCCGCGCCGCCAGTCCCAGAGAGACGCCCAGAGAGGCGAGAGCTGTCCCCGAACACCTTGCGGTAGGAGGAGGCGGAGCACAGGTAATGCTCCGAACCGAAGCTCATGGTGCCAGGATCAGGGCCTGGAGAGCGGCTGCAGCTGGAGCTACTGAGGACGCTAAAGGTGCGGCAGGCTGGGCGCGGCGGGGCGGTGTGCACCGGGTTTTAAGGCGCGGGGGCTGGGACTACGCGTTGGGGGCGGAGCTCCTGCTTCGGGTCCGGCCTGGAGAGGGAAGGGGGGCATCCGGGAGCGGGGGCGGGGAAGCGCAGTGACTACCGCAGCTGCGCGTGCGAGCAACCTTGGGTGCCCAGGCTGGGCCATCTGCGTAGGAGCCGCCTTAAGATTTCCGCGCCTCAGGGAGAATCGACTGCTTTGGAAGTGCCTGGAGCCAAGAGTGGCCAAACGACCCGGTTTTCTCAGCCAGAAACCACACAGCTCTGTCACTTTTCCAAACCCAGGCCTCTCTTCACCCTTTAACCAACTGGGGGAGTAGGTTTTCTGAGAGGTGTCCCCCATATCTATGTCTACCCCTGAGTTCCCATGGATGAAATCTTTTTTTCTCCAGTAAGAGTGAGAGCCTGAAGGATGAGGCGTTGTCCCCTCTCAGGTGTCTTAGATCTTCCAGGGGAAAAAGTGGGCCTACGTCAGAAAGCATCCCTTCAGCTCTTCAGCTTACAGGGGGAAGATGGGGAAGGGAGAGCAGATCGATAAAGAACGTGAGCCCAAGTTTCAGAGAGTGGAGAGAAGAGGAGGTAGAGTCAGAAAGGGGCCAGGCCTGGAAAAGAAGAAAGCGCTGGGAATTACTGGGCTTCTTTGGTAGGGCTCTAACACAGAACTGGACCACAGGCTGGTGTAAAGGGATAGCAGACTTGTTTTTGTTTTATAAGTTATTACATGTTTTTAAAAAATATTTATTTTTTAGTTGTAGTTGACACAATACCTTTATTCCAATCATTCATTTTTATGTAGTGGTGAGGATCGAACCCAGGGTCCAGCAGGTACTAGGCGAGTGCTCTTTTGAAAATCGGAGGAGCTGGAATGGCTGCTGTGGGTGGATGTGAGGCACCCTTGCTATTTGTGTTAGTGTGTTCTGTTTATCATGCCCCCACCACCACACTCTCCACTGAATCATACCCACCTTCTTAATTCATTACTTTATCTGCCTGAACCTGTAGGCATTTGAAATTTCAGTTTGTGTAAATTAGGTCCTCATGGGCTTTGGAGAGACATTTCCTGGGAGATCTCTTTGGACAAATGAGTTGCCTACAGAGAGATTAAATTCCCAGATTGGGGAAGAGTGTAGGTGATTGAGCTGGCCTTCTTTGCCACACAGTAAGGGAACTCAAAGAATGGGACCTGGAAAGAAGAAGGCTAGGTTATCAGTACTCTCCTTCAAGTTTATAATTATATCATGTTGGGTGTGGATGTGGCTTTGGAGACACAGAAGGAAGACCTTTTCAGTTATATTCCAGAATACCAGACTTAGGGCCTTTTTTGATCTTGAAAGATCTTTTACTTAGAACTACAGGTAAATTGGGGGGGGGGGTATTATCTGGATAATCCACCAAAGGGGGAAAATTAATCTTATGGGGACTTTGGAGAATATCTCTTGGCTTTGTGTTTGATGTAGAAGATTTTTTTTTCTTTTTTCTTTTGGTACCAGGAATTGAGCTCAAGGGAACTCAACAACTGAGCCACATCCTGAGCTCTATTTTGTATTTTATTTAGAGACAGGGTCTCACTGAGTTGCTTAGTGCCACTAAGTCCCGAGGTGCTGGGATTACAGGCATGTGCCACCATGCCTGGCTGATTTAGAAGATCTTAAGGCCCTGATACAACCTGTCCTTCTATGTCCTCATCACTCAATGAAGACCTGAGCAAAAGAGACTCAATTCTGAGGTCTTTGGGCTCAGAAAGACCTGGGAGTGGGCTGAAATATGAAAGAGTGATAACATTACTGAATTATTACTGCCTGCCAGCCATTGTGCCAGCAATTGTGGTTTGTTTTGCCTTATTCTTCAAGGTGGCCCTCACCTCTGTTTTACAAGGAAGACACTGAAGCTTAGGTGCAGTACTCTGCCCAAGGCCACCAGCAAAGGCAAACATGCATTTGCCTTCTTTTCTCACCACATAGTTCTTAGTGCAATGAGAATCTTGAAGTCCCACTAATTTCTTTGTAGCCAGAATAGGGCCAAGAGAGTTTTGGCCCATAACAAATTAGCAAGCTGGTTTGTAATTGAAAGAACATTGGACTCAGAGGTGGTGGGTATGAATTGTGACTTCTGTCCTTATTAAGTGTGTGGGGATAACAACACTCATCTCCCAGGGTCATGAAAGATTGAGTTGATGTACTCAAACATATTTTGTAGGCTGTATGTGTGTGTGTGTGTGTGTGTATATAATTATTCTTATCATTGTCTTCTTTCTAGTTAAAGGATACTTCTTCATGTCCACCACTGGTTCTGAGTCAGGTGTGGTAAGAGGATTACAAGAAACTATCCACTACACCTTGCACAGGCCTCCAGGTTGCCCCTTGTGAGACAGCATACAGCCAACATTGACTGTGTGTGGTATCACCAGCTTGCATGAGTGGGGCAAATGGAAACAACACAGATAATTAGGAGATCTTTCTTCTGGGCCATGGTTCCAATCTCATTTCAATAATGTTATTCAGGACTACCAAAAGCCATTAACATGTCCTGGTTGGAATTCCATCTTTCTTTTCCTTTCCATTCTCTAATAAAAGCTGTAACTCCTCCGCACAAGACAAAACATATACAGAGCAGAAGAAAGAAAAGCAAAAGGCCTAAATAATCTAATGAAGTGGCAGTGGCCCTGGGAAGTCTACCGGTGGGCTGCATTTTCTCAACAGCTTACTTGAGCTTTTCTCCCCTTTCTTAGCATCCCACTCAAAGACCCAATTGTGTGACTTTAATAATCTTAACACACAAAGCTATCCTACGAAGGATTTTGGCTGAATCTCAAGCCGTAACTCCTTCCAGCTGGCCAGGTTTCCTGAGGGAGTCCCCTGGCCATGCCAGGACTGTGTCTTCTCTTTCCTCTGGTGTCACACTCAGGCCTAAAGACACATTAGTCAATTGTCCCCAGTTCTCCCTCATGCCGCATCCTCCACAGTCCCTCTGTGGCATTTGGCAGTGCTAATCATTCTCCTTGGCTTCAAGGACTCGATTCTTGGTTCTCTGCTTTTCTTTCCATGAACTTTGCTTTTTAGATATTAGATCTCCCAGAGGCAGAGAGACTTTTGATAAAGTCGTTTCCCTGCAAGATTTAGTTTTGAATAATGATTATACCTAGCCATGTAACCTTGAACACATTACTATTATTGGATGAACTTTAGCCTGTTCATCTGTAAAATTGTTATAAAACTGTCCACCTATCCCAATGGCTCAAGAGGCTGAGGCAGGAGGATTGCAGGTTCAAAGCCAGCTTCAGTAGCTTAACAAGGATGTAAGCAACTTAAGAAGACCCTATCTCAAAATAAAAAGGGATGAGGATGTGGCTCAGCAGTTAAGTGTCCTTGGGTTCAATCCCTGGTACCAAGAAAACAAAACAACAACAAAAAATACTGTCCACCTGAGTGGTCTTCAAACCTGGCTGATCATTAGAATTACCTGAGAACTTAAACTCAGATTCTTAGGCCTTCCACTACACCCATTCTAAAATCTAGGTTTCAGAGCCTTTGACCTACCTCTCATGAGATTACTGTGAGGTTTCAATAAGATTGTGTATCCAAAGTGGATATCATAAGGCCTTCTGTGTGTATATTCAATAAATGGTGGTCATCAGAAGCATCAACTTCTTTGATCCACTTATTCAACAGTTACTGAATGTTTACTGTAGACCAAGTGCTAGGGTGAATGCTAGGTATAAAAGGCAGATGTGGGGCTGGGGTTGTAGCTAGTAGTAGAGTGCTCTCCTTGCATGTGGAGGGCACTGGGTTCCATCCTCAGCACCACATAAAAATAAAATAAAGGCATTGTGTCCATCTATAACTAAAAAAAATAGTAAAAAAAAAAAAAGGCAGATGTGGCCTTTGCTTCCATGGGGCTGGCATTTTAGCAGAAAGACAGAGATTAAACAACTAATTACATAATTGTAATTGTGACACAAGTTATCGTGAGGCATATAACAAAAAGACTGACCTATGTTGATGAGTCCCAAATCTCTAATTCCGAATTCCAAATCCAGACCTACCTAAAACTGCCTCTTTGTATCTCCTGTGATTGCTTGGAGTTACTGTATTTCTAAAAGTGAACTTAAGGAAAAAATAAATAAAAGTGAACTTAAGTAGGGTACAGTGGTATGTTTGTTTTCCCCCCACACACACACACATATATACACACATGCACATGCATATTTATATACATACATACACATATATATATTTGTGTAAAAAGAAATATATTAAAGTGAACTTGTAATCTCCCTTGAGAATCTCCTTCCACTTCTTTGATTTTGTTTTTATGTCCCACTTTGTTCCTCTGCTTGTGCAATTCTTTATTCCTTGAATTTCTTCCCCTGCCCTACTTCAGCTGTTGAAATTCTTAAGGTTCCAGTGCTGTCTCTTCCATGTACCCTTCTCTGGTGCTGCCAATGGAAAGTAACCATCTCACCCTTGAACTGTCCTCCTTCTGCCCACAGCCTTTGCAGAACTCACAGTACTCCTCATGTCCTGCTGTTATTTGTGTGCTTGTCTAAGCTGAACTGGGAGCTCCTAAGCACAACTCATCTTTTACATCTAGCTCTCTCTCTCAGCCCTTGTCACGGTATTAAATGGGTATGAGGTAGAAAAAAAATACTCTCCTATAAAACCACTTGGAAAAGTCTTTGACCTAACCCCAAGAGTGAGATCCATAAAAGAAAAAAAATCAATAAATTTGACTTCATCCAAATTAAAATATCATTCTCCATAAAAGGTTACGCTATAATACGACATTACCTATTGAAGTGCTTTAAACAAAATCCTAAGAACCCCAAGTACTCATAATGATTCAGAACAAGTCTAACCTTTTTTTTTTTTTTTTTTTTTGGTAGTCCTGGGGATTGAACCTGAGGCCTCACACATGGTAGGCAAGTGCTCTACCACGGAGCTACATTCTCAGCTCTGGATA